TCAAGGTCTTGCTAAGTAACGCAGGCTGGATTGGAATGTGAGCATTGTGTCTTCATCCTGCTGGGGGCTAAGATTATAGCATGAGCCACCATGTCTGGCTTACACAATAGAATTTTTCTAAGTGAAAAGAAATGTCCACGTGATATCTTCAGTGGCTATTGTTTCTTTTACCTTTGGACTGCATTTGTAAGTTTCAACCTGTTTGCTATGATGAAAAGTTTTGATTTGTCTTTGACTTTTTGAAAAAAAATTAAGTGCTACATGGGCACGTTTTGGAATGAAGAGCACTTGCCGTTTCCCTGTCATTTTGTAACACAAAAGGCTCACTTCTCTTTGACATTGAAATATCCAGGACCAGCAAAGAAAGAAAGTGGTGGCAAAGGCCTGTATATCTGTAGGCTCCGGGGTGGCTGTACAGATGAAGCTCCAGGTTCTGCCTTAGGCTGTCCTCGGCTTCCTGGACACAGAGGAAACTGTTAATTGTCCAGAATCTTCTTTCTGAGCCCTGTGTCCATGGCCTGCCACATTGTCAGGGTGAAGTAGAAAGAGGAGTGAGAGAGCATGTAGAATCAGCAAAAACAAACAAAGATGGTACTGTAATGGGGGGGAAGGGAACAGCTCTTTTCTCTAATTTTAACCTCATAGGTGAGATAGAGCTTTAATGACTCTCCTGGGAGTGATAGGAAGGAGGGCCCACCAGGAGCAGGGGTGAAGGGAAAAGAGACAATGGCTTCTGGTAGTTCTATCATTCATGCAGTCAGAATTCACCCAGAAGGTAACGTGAACCCAACAGGTTAAATGATAGAATTTCTGAGTTTCTAAAAGTTGGTCCAAGGCTGTGGCTGTAGTGGGGGGCTTAGCACATGGATCAGCATGGCAGAGGGCAAGAAGCCCCTTTAAGCCTCCATATCCTCCTCCCAGCTCATCCTGGGGCCAGACCATGGCAACCAAATCATGAAATCATGGAGACTATTCCCAGGCAAGCCCCCTATAGCCATGTGGTCCTGTCTGCTTGAATAGCTACTTCCTAATTGCATCCTCACTGTGGAGCCCCTATCAACTCCTTGCTGTGTGGCTTCTAGAACAGACCACTTCTGTCTTGCCCTTCACCTCCAGCTTCCTGCTTTCTTGAACTATCACTTCCCTCCCAGTTTTCTAGATTCCACTAATCTGCTCTCAGAATGACAGATGATCCTCAGGGTTCTGTTTTTTATCTTTGCAAATCTCTGGATGGCGCAGAGGAATCTTACATTTCTATTGTTTAAAAAATTGCTTCATGCCAGGGTCTATGCTGTCAGCTCAAATCTCCTTACTAAAACATGTTTCCTGACATTTCTACAAGCATCACACATTTCTCATGCTTCAAGTGGAGAAGCTTGCCTCGCTCCCCGGGATGAACAGGCTATCTCTAAGTTGCTCTCATCTTTACATCTAGTTAAATCCATCGGGTTCACACCCCTTTGAAATTCTCTCCTGTTTCCAACAAGGTTTCGGTTCTCTCTTCCTGATTTCTTCCCAGGGTGGCTATAGGAACCCCCAGAGCCTCCCTACCCTCACATAGAGTTGTTCTGTCCAGGATGGTGCTCTGTTGCTGAGACCCAGCTCTGGTCCTTGACAACACTTCAAAGTCCCCCTTTACCTCTAATACCTATAAAAGGAAACATGCTTTCCTGGCCCTCTGCAATCTGACATGCAACTCAGCTATGTCAAGTTTTCTAGACCTTTCCAGGATTCTATTCTGTGCTTTTGTGTTTTTCTGGGTCTCTCATTGTGTAGCCCAGGATCGCTGCAAACTCATACTTCTCCAGACTCTTGAGTATTGGGATTACCAGCATGTGCCACCATGCTCAGCTACTTATTGACTGAAAACTGTTCCTTACACTTTTATGGCTTTATGCCTTCATTTAAATTGGAGAAAAATGTCCTCCTGTTCCTTCACACCTTTGCGAAATTCTCCCAGTCCTAATTTACAGATCCTAGTCTTCTGGAAGCCTACTCTGACTGAGTTAATGATGCTTTTTTCCTCCATCCTCTAGGCCATCAGGACACTGAGTACATCATACACCTCCCCCCACCACACACACATACACTAGAATACAAATGAGTTTTCTGGCAAGGACTGTGATTTAATTGTTGTCTTCTTGGGGCTTAAGGCATGCTGGAATGTGGCAGACACTCAGGAATTGTCTAATTAACCTGGTGTTAACAATGAGGAGCTTTATAAGGCAGTTTGTACAAGATGCTATCTCCAAGTAAACATTAAATCATGATACTGGTTCAGAACTATGAACCACATTTTGAGCAAGTGCTCAATGGTGAGAAGAGAATAGTTGCAGGAATGGGCTTTAAGTACATGAAAATTTGCAAACACAGGAAATGAACCACTAGGCTCTTGGTGAATTTTATCTACAATAATTCTGTTGAAGCCCAAAAGCAGAAATGCTCCTTCACACAATGCAGATAGCTGAATCTCTGCATCGAAGAATAGGATGGAGCTAAGATTAATAGCTTGCATTTTCCTTTGACAGTATCAATAGAACTTGCCAAATTAAGTCTAGTGAGCTGATTAAAATTTTCTACACTTCTCCAGCTTTGATTCTGGTCTTATCTGCATATGTTGCATAAAATATTTTATATATCCATAAAAAATGTAAAATTTAAATAGCATAAATAAAAAGACCAGGATTTCTGGAGTCACAGATAAGTAAGTTTTATGCCTGGGTTATGCAGACAGTGTTTCAGTCATAGGAGAAATTCGTGGAGTAAGGTCTTTCTCTTTTGAATGTTCTCCCTCACATCTCTAGGAGTCAGCACCGACCCTCCAGTATTCATTATTGAACACTTGTTGCCATGAATGTTTCTTTACAGCATAGACAATGCAGTTGTCTCTCAATATTCTTGGGGAGGGGTTCTTTCTGTGAATACTGCAATCTACAGATACTCAAGTCTCAGACAAACCGGCATAGTATCTGCGTATGGCCTCCACATAGATGCCCATGTAGATCGTCTGCAGATTATTTAAAATACTGACAAAGTGCAAACACGACATAAACAGTGATTATACACCATTACTTAGGAAATAGCAAACCCCAAATAAGCTACATATTCTGTACAGATACAATTTCTTTCCTGAGTATTTTTGACCCATGGTTGGTTGAACTGGCAACGGAGAATCTGCAGACACAGAGAGATCTGTTCTTTAGAATGTATGCTTCCAAAGGCAGGGGTGATACACTCCCTCATTGTTCAGTTGAGGGTAGGAAGACACCTCTCGGGGCTCAGTTATGTTTGCCACAGTGATCTGTGAGATTCAAAGTGGAAGATGTAACTAAACAAAACATTGTCTATGCATCTTCCATGGGATAAAAGCCCTAAGACAAATCTCCTGCCCCAATGCCAATGTTTTTTGGAAGAGATCCAAGATGAGGGCTACATTTTGAAATCTCCAATTTTTTTGGAAGACAGCAACAACTGCAGCTTCAATGCAGTGCAACTCCTGCTTTCCATGTTAGGAAACAGTATGAAGAGAAACTAAACTCCATTGGTCTTTATTTAAATCAAACCAGCTCATATTACTGTCTACCATTTTATGTGTGTATGAAGTGCAGGTATATCTACCTGCTGTGTGTGTGTAGTGGACCTATGTATGAGCCTGGGTATGTGTGTAGGCATACATGCCGTCATGCTGAGGCCAGAAGGGTGTTAGGTTTCTGGTTTTCCTTGAACCTGTAGCTCAGGCTGTTTCAAAAATGCTGGCTGGCCACCAGGCTTTGGGGATCTGCTCATATTTGTCCCCCAATGCTGGGGTCACAGGCATAGGTGGGAGTGCCTGGCTTTTTTATGTGGGTGCTAGGTAGTCAAACTTAGGTCCTTATACTTGTCACCAGACAGTGGACAAGCTAAACTTTCTCAGGGGAGTTTGAAATACAGCAAGTTCGGAATTATGATGCGATTTCAATAACTAGGCCTTCCAACAGTAAAGAGGCTGTCCATGCTTTGAGTCATCCAGAGGTCTGCTACGGTGGCTAGGAGTATGGATGGATATGGCACCTTATAGACAAGAAAGATGAAGACAGGAACCCTCATGAGGCCAAGAAAGAAAGCTCAGCAAGTCCTGTCTTTCCTCCTCGGTTACCCAGAGTTAAACAAGTTCTCTCTGTTTATTTCCTTTCCGTTACCAGAATCCAGTGCTACGTAAACGTATGTATACATCAGGGTTACCTAGAATGTTCTAGAAACTCCAACCTGCATGGCCTCATTCCAGAGTTTCTGAGTCAAGTGGATCTGAAATGGGGCTCGAGGCACTACATGGCTGGCATGTTCTCAGGTGGTAGTAATGAGGCTGAGAACCACTTCCCTCGTTGTTGCTTGAAATGTGACATGGACTCTTTCAAACTCCCTAAAAGATGCTAAAGCAGAGACTCATCCTCAGCACCCAAGGGGATGGAATCAGCATGTTAAGCTTTACCTGTTCCCAAATAGCTCTCATGAGCTTTAAACTTTGAGTCTTATGCTTTAGAAAAGTCCAGAGACTGACCCAGGCAGGGGCATACCTCCCCATACCCAGTGTCACTGCTTTTTAGTCCCAGAGCCATATGTGGTAACCCAGGCTGGTGTCACAAGCGTGAGAAACAGATTCAGCAAAGACAAACTGGAAGGCCTCCGTAAGCCAGATCCAAGCATAATCAATGTCGCAATGGAAAGTTCTCGACCCAGAGAGATGAGCCAGGTAGAAGGTGCAGCAGCAGCTGGTAAAGCGCTTCCATTTGGAGCAACTCTCTATTTCCTGAGTCTCAGAAAGAGTGCTTTTCTAAGTCTGATTTTTTCTTCTTCTTACAGCCAACATGCTAGACTTGGACAAATCTGTTCATCCGCTTGAACATGTTCTAAAATTATAAAGCAGAGTCGACGCCTGCTTGAGAACCTCACGCTCTCCTTCCACACACCCTCGGCTGCGTTAGAAGCCGGGCAGCTGCTCGGGAGACTCTTAGTGGCTTTACCTGAGCTGGTGGAGGCGGGAGACTTGCTTCGCCGGGAAGGTCCTGGGCTCTTGGTGGTGCCCCTGCGCGACGCTGATGCTATTTTGGTGTAAGAAGTGGATTTCACCACACGACATTCTGGGGAAAGAATAAGAAGACACATGAGGGGTTGGGGGACAGTCAAGTCGAGGACACTCCAAGCCCCCAAACTTACATTACTTAGAATAATACTGTGAATAGGCTGGTAAAGGGAAGCTGTTATAGGATTTCTCTCCACGGACCCCTTCAGTTATCTGTGCTTTTGTAATTTTACCGTGAGTTTCTTCTGGTGATGGAAGATTCCACCCACCTTGACAGGCCCCAGTGTATTGTCCTGGGTCCTTAATGGAGCAATTGTGCATCTATATGATATGTGCAAACTATATGGGGGTAACACTGAAAATCAGGTGTGATCATCCTCCTTACAAATACGTGGTAACCTTCGATGCATCACTGTGAATCTACCGGAGAGCTTGCTTTCTATATATACAGTTGTCTTCCTGTGAGGGTGAAAAATAATCTCCATGTTTAAATTTTCAGTTTTTGTGTTTGTTAAATTCCATGCTAAGTATTGTAAATAATGAATAACTTCCTGTTTTTCTCTTCATCAAAGGTCTGGATAATGACATGCAAATACACACTATCTTGCTCTCAAGAACGCACCTTAAATAATGAAATTCTATGTTTTGAAATGATAATCAATTGCATTGAAAAATATGGAGTATATTAAGGCCATCGATAACTCATGATCCAGTGCCGTCTTATTTTTGAAGGCTCTAAAGTATTTTTCTAATCACGTTTCAGTTCTTGCCCCCAGGTTCCTGCCCTACTTGAGTTCCCCTCTTGGTTTCCCTCAATGATGGATGGTAGTGAGGATGAGTAAGACTTTTTTTTTGCTTTTGGTCATGGTCTGTGTCACACAGGAAAGCAAACTGATTCATGGGTCCTTTTCACCATGATGTTTGGTAGTTGTCAAGCATTTTACCACATGGAATATTCTAGTTCACTTAGGCATTTAAACTTTAAATTAAACTGATTTAAGCATTTTTCTTACTGTAATAACTCAGCAGCACCCCTGTAAATGAGCATTCAGTCACCTGATTATTCCCTTATATACATTTATTCCTTGAAAATTGAAATTCAATTTTTAGTAACTAGAAGAATATGTTGTAGGTGCTCAAAAATACTTGCTAACTGAGTGGGTTGGGAAATATGTAATTTTCCCCCTACATTATATTTTAATTAATTTTATGTGTTTGTGCATGTATATCTGCTTGTCTGTATGTGCACTATATGCATGCAGTGCCCATGGCGGCCAGAAGAGGGCATCAGGTCTCTGGATCCGGAGTTAACAATGGTTGTGATCTTCCACATGGGTGCTGGGAACTCACCCCTTAGCTGCTGAGCCATCTCTCCAGCTCTCACGGTTCTTCTAAAAGGTCTTGTCCTCCATCTAGTGTTTCAATTAAATCATGCTTTCCTTAACATATGGTCATTTCCCGGAGCTCTTGTGGCTTAGCATTATTCTAATTTTGTTTTGGAAATTTTCTAAATAAGATTAAGATATCATTGCTTAAAATCGGAAGTGGTTTTATTGCCAGCAATGTTGCAAACATACTTATTATGTGTATTTCTTCTTTTGTAATAGCTTACTAATGGCCTTTGATTGCTTGAGACTGAGAAAGCCTTTCCATTATTGGCTTGTAAGAATACAGGTTCTACATTAAAAATTTTATTCTGTAGCTTGAAATTTTATTCTTCAGTCTACCATACATAAAATGATGTTAGTAACACATTTTTCTTTGTTGGCAGTTGCTGAAGTATGTTAACCTTTTGAATTTTTTTAAGTGTAGTTAAGATTAAGGAATGGGTCTAGGGGATTCCTCGTAGGAGTCTCAAGGTCCTGGATTTAATTCTCAGAAACACACACACACACACACACACACACACACACACACACACAGAGAGAGAGAGAGAGAGAGAGAGATCCAATTTATTCATTATTTTTATAAATTCACAAGTCCAGATCTAACACTGAAGCCTGGCTTCATATTGACAATGACTTCCCTAGCCATATAATTTGCCATTTTCTAAGTTCAAAGTTCAAAATATGTTTCTTTCCCTTATGTGCTTTGAATGAAGTAGTTGTTATTAAGTAACAAGATCAATGTTGTAGGCCTAGAAAACAATAGATAGGACACAGAGAAGAGCCTCATATATTGAATTGTGGCAAAGTGAAGAGAAAAGATTTAATGGCAGGGAATGAGAAGAAAGAGGAGGAAGAAGAAGAGGAGGGAGAAGAGAAGAAGGAGAAAGACAATAATCCTGCCATGAGGTGTACGGTGTCTTCTGAGTTTTTTCATAGTAAAGAAGAGAGAGAAAGAAATCTGTGCGATGATCTATTCACGGTCAGTCGAGTTTCTTCCAGTGCTTACTTGGAGGCACTGCTCTGCTCTGGCCTGCCCAGGAGTTCTTTCTTGAGAGATTTAAAAACAAACAAACAAATAAATAACAACACCAACAAAAAACCAACCAACCTTCTTCTATAGGCTTATCAACACAAATTCAAAAGACACGACCAAAAAAAAAAAAAAAAAATCCCAGCAGTATAACACTGAACGCACAATCAGAAACAGTGAGTTCATTCATTTGATGTGGAGGTTTTAATTCACAAGGCAGAGCTTTGGAACCAGAGAAGAAAACCTCAAATTAGCTGTCCTCACAACTGACAATATATTCTGGAGTTTGTCCTAGATTTTGGACATCCGCCCCGTCTTCTGGCAGCACATTAGCAACTAAACTGAATCACCGCAGTGTGGCTGGTCTATGGGCATGCCTCCAGTTACATTTTTATCAAGTGCCCACTATGTGCCAGGCGCTGAGTGCTGCAGGCAGTGTGATGAACAATACAAAATCAGAATTTGCAACACCAACTGGCGGCATCATCTTTTTTCCACTAATTTTTATTTCATAAACCACAGCATTTGAAAGCTCTTAGCTAGTCCAACACATTGCTGCTAAATAAATATATATCCTTCTGATTTTAAATCAAAATGAAGTCTGTAATGAGGGCAGGATGACCAGAGCTCTTCATTAAGGTCGTGAGCTGCTGGACACCACCTAAATTTAAAACGATTATTTTGGAAGTTCAGTTAGTTAGCAGGCACAAGTGGTCAAAACAGAAAGTTACCAGATGGCACATTTTGCTAATAATAGCCATCTCTGAGCTTTAGCTATGAATTTAAATGTTGATTTTAGGGTTTTCCTCATGCTGTTTGTCCCAGGGACAAGGATTGCTTGCTGTAACTCTGGCTACCAGCACAACAGAACCAGTCTTGTGCATACTAAGCTGGGATTTTTCCAGCTACCAGAAATACACTAACTAGATAGTTTGTTCAAACATCTTGGTCTGATGAGAGCCAATGAAGGCATTTCAGTAAGTTTTGGAGCTTTGTCCATATCATATTGTTAACCAGTCAAATAGAGTCATGTTTACTCTGCCTCATTCCCTTACTCTGCTGAGAACTAATAGCATATGGCTCATTAAAGAATATGGAATAATTGCTCAGCAAATAAGATGTGGTTTGCTATTTGTCCTTTCAGAATGTGTGTAAACTCCAAGTGGCTTACATCAGAACCCTAGTCTCCCCGTGTCCAAATGTGATACTGGGTTTTAACTCTGTCTCTCCATGTGTGACAAAATGGTGGAAAATTTTTATCACTGGCCAGGGACAGGGGAAGATGAGTGAGTAAAAGATAAGTGGGCTCATAGGAACAATGGCAAGAATCTAGTTATAAGCTCAGGACACTGAACCCAACTTTTTATCAAAGTGTCTATTCTGTCATTAAAAAAACAAAAAAGGAACTCACTTTGAGCTACATGGAAGTAATAATGTGAGGATACTAGCACAAATTGCATGCCACCAGCGCCCCCAGGGGAAGTGAGGCTCCCTGAGTCATATTGGGGATCAGTCTAATTCTGAAAGCTTGGGCTGAGTAACAGAAAGAGAAACAACGCAAAATTATAGGAGTGGCTTTCTTGTTCTCTCTACAGGGTCAAAATAAACCCAGTTAAAGAATGTTGTGTGGGGGGGTTGTATATGTGTGTGTGGGAGGCTGTGTGTGTGTGTGGGAGGAGGTTTTGTGTGTGTGTGTGTAGGTTGTGTGTATGTGGGGGTGGGTTGGGGAGTAGGGAGTGAGGAGCAGAGTCCTCCAACAGCTTTCCAGTTAAAGGTTTAATTTTAAGTTTTTTTTTTTCTTAAGTTGAAATTACATTTTATAATGGTAAAAAACAAATGCCATGAGACAAACAAATGATGGATTCCCTTAGAGCGAAGGTCAGAATCCTTGTCAGTTTAAAACCACAATTTGCAACCTGGGGAACAAGCTGACCCAAATGTCCAGTAAAAACAATGCCTTTTTGCTCACATAAGCGACATTGTTACTGTTTCCAGCAAGGAAGAAACTGGCACCTCACGTACAGGGAAACCCCCCCTTTAGCCATCACATTTTTTTTTTATTATGATTGGATTACATCCTTGGACATTACTGATCAGCTCTGTATGAGGTTGCATGTCCTGTGTGGAGATGCTGAGCAATGCAGATACTCCTCAAACATGTATTAAAAGATGATTGTGAGCTACATAAGAAAGGTCAGACTTGCTATCGAAGATCACAGACCACTGAGTGTGCACTCGTCTTTTGGTGTGTGAGAGGTTTGGTTTCAGCACCACACCATAGAGACCAAAGTCCACATTTTTTCACAGGGACAGAAAAGTAGCGAATATAGCACATTCTAGTCCACTTTACATTAGGATCTGCAGCTTTTCCAATGGCTTCTATGCTGCAGGGCTTGATTCCTGTTGGTGGTGCGGTAGCCAGGGCATTGGACCATGAGGGCCCTGGCTCCTCAATGAGGGAATCCACTCATACTGGATAGACCATCAGGAGGTAGGGCCTGGTTAGAAGAAGGAGGCCACCGTGGACATGACTTCATCGGTCTTGTTTTAGATTCTTCCCTCTCTTTGCTTCCTGGATGCCAGGAAGTGAAAACGGTCAATTTTCCTCTGCCTCATCTTTCCCTCATGGGGGCTCTACTT